ACGATCTCCAATATTATATAAATTTCTTTCTAGAGCAGCTTTGAATTATTCAGTGTCAAAGGCTTTAATCACAAAAGAAAATTGATTACCTGATAATTCATCTCTTTAAAATAAAGCTTCTAAAGCAGATACAATTATTTAGATAGATGAATAGTCTTAAGAAGACTTTAAATAGGGAATAAATACATTATCAATTATATTTAATGCTAAAAAGTCAACAAATATAGAAATGCTTCCGTTTTCTATTGAATTACAAATTATTAAAAGTTTCATTGGATTGCAATCTTCCATTAATAATTAGTGTAGTTTTGTTCCATCATACATTTAGTATAAATAATCAACAAGCAAATTTTATTCACATTCATCATATTTTGATACAAAATAAAGCATCAATTAAAATCCTTTTTCTTTTTTTGTTGGATGATCAAGAAAGTAAACAATAAGTTAATTGAGGCCTCTAGAATAATAACTAATTTTTGTTGAATCATTAGCTTTATTTAAAATGGCAAGTAAAGCTTCATATGCCATATCATTTTCTTAAGCATATGTTAGTAATCTTTGGGCAGGTAAAATAAAATTTTAGTCAATTAATTCATCTGCATCTAATGGAGAACAATTTTCAAATATAAATTTGACAGATTCAAAAGCTGTGTCATTAGGGTGGTTCATAATGATTTCTGATAAAAATTATATTGACTTGATTATATCCACATAATTACCATTTTATGTTAAAATGTTTATAACAAATGAGTACTCTTCTGAATATTCATGCAAGAGTTGTTCTTAAAAAAAAATATTTTGAGCTGGAATTATAAACTAATGACAATCATATAATAAATTTCCTAAACACAATAATATTCTCTTTCTTAAAATATAATCATCTTTATTAAAATAATTTTAGAGTAAATAAAAACATTCATCTTCTTAATTATCGAAGTCATCAAAATTAAATAGTTAATTATTTAAACACCTTAAACCTTCTTTTATTGTTTCCAAGGATTGTGTTTGACTTAAAAACTAAATCAAATCTTTAATTATTTTAGGGGGATTATCCATGTCTGATATTTATTTAAACAATTCATCACAATATTCAAATTTTTGAATTTTATTCAATATAGTTTAAGTACTCATTTAATTGGATGGTTGCTATTATAATACCCTCTTTTATTTAAAAATGATTTCATTTTTTTATCTACGAATTTCTTTTCTAAAAAACTCTTTTTTTTCTAAAAGCAAGGAAATCATAAATACTTAAAAATTAAATATTCAATTTAATATATAAATTTTAAATATATTTATAGTTGATTTTCAGATATGGTGGTTAACTTAAGCTATTCATTTAAAATTCAAGTTAAATAAAAGGATAGGATTAAAAAAATACTTTATTGATTTTTTTACTAATGTATTTATTAATATATTTTAAAAATATATTCACATTTGCATATTAAATTTAGATAATGAAATTCAGAAACTTTAAATACTATAAATTATAATTTGTATTATTTATCATACTCAATTATTTTAGTTTTGTAATTCTAAATCTTAATTAAATGGTTAAGTAACAATTAACTTTTGTTTTCTCCACTTCAAAAATTCTAATTTATATCCCCATTTTTTATATAAATAACAAATGACAATTATTAACCAAATTAGACCAACAACAAGTGCATAAAGTGTCAGAGTATATTATGCATATGTAGATTTATTTCCAGGTTTCTATATTAATATATAAAAAATATTACAAATTCTGATTAATATACAAATGAATGAGTCAATTAACAGAGAGAATATGGAGAACTATCATTATGTTCTTTTTTATTTGAACATTAAGTTGAATTTAGAGTTGCAATATAGGATTTGTTAGCAACTTAATCTGATAAGCAAGTAATTTTTGGATCTTAAAAAGAAATTTCAATATATTTAAATGCATGTTTAGCTAAGCCTATGAGAATTCTGCTAGATGAATTGTAAAATTTAGAAAAATCATATTCTTTTATTTTAATAAGGTTATCTTCTTAAAAGTAAGTATGTTGTTTAATAGCTTGATTGATGAATTGATTATAAATGGAATGATAAATAATTTTATGGCCATCATCTCCTATAAGAACAGCATAGTGTTCAAAGACATTAACATCATTAATAATCATTTCATCAATATAAAGATTGTTATAATAATAAGACTTAATCTCATAGTCAATAAATATTTCAACAGCATAATATAACTATGTATTTGTTTTTGCAACTAAAAAAAAGGTGTTTAAATAATGATCAAAGGTTTTTGTATTAGGTAGAAGCACACTCATTATTTAGGTAATATTATTGAGATCTGAAATATCATATATATAAAGTCCAGATTCTGAATCTAATAGATAAAGCTTAGTCTCATCATCATTTGAATCAACATCAATAATAATACCATCTTCAATACCAAGTTACTCGGGTAATAATTATTTTTTATGTTTAAGTTTACCTTTGCTCTAAATTTCATATAAATCGATGCCTTCGCTTCCACAAGCAACAACAATTAATTATGCTCTTGAATTTTTATGAACATTATATATTTGTTTTCTTTATTGCATTTCTTCAGATTCCATCTAAACATCTCCTATATTTTCATCTGTTGAAAAACTAACACCTCCGAATTCTGTAATTGCATAAATTTTATTTGAACCCTCATCATCTATTAAATAAGGATGTGGCACATAAAATTAATCAACTATATTTGAGATATTTATATAATCTTTAAATGATTGATTTTTTGAGTTTAATTCAATTTACCCTAATCCTGTGGATATATCAACCTAAAATATCGAATAATCATTCCTAACCTAAAATTAAAATGATTTATACTAAATATGCTTTAAATTTATTGTCTGCTGTGGCAAGATCCGTAAAATGCATCCAAGGCTGAGTGATTATTTATTCTAATTGTAATTACAAATTGAATTCAATTTCAATCTTTCTTTATATAGAATAGCATCCTGAATATGTACCAAACTATTTTTCTTCTATTTCTAAATCATTCAAATCAGCCGATTGCTCTGTATTATTCTCAAAGATTTCTTTTAATGAAATAGCAAATACTCCAGGATAACTAAAGTTAATATGGAAATTACTTGCTATAGCCAAATTGTTTTGTTTATCTTAATTTATTTGAATAGTTCGAAGGTGGAATTACTTCTGAATAAAGAGTAATATTTGGTTAACTGACTTTGGTGTTTTATCCAGAATAGAGAAGTTGAAAAATTATGAGTATAATCATAAAATATTTATAATAATTAATTATGCTAACAATAATCATTTAATTTCTAAAATTTATTAAGAAGTCTTTATTAATATTTGATATTCATACAATAAAGTGTAACCATTTTGTAAAGAAAACAACTACGTGATGATTTAATTTTTATAAAATTTACATTGAATTTATTAAAATATAAAAAATAATATTATTTCTTAATGATAATTTAAGTTGTTTAATCCTTATATTATCTTCTAAAATAATAAGATGAAAAAGCTGAGATTTACTCTGAAAAATAAATAAAACTCAATAGTCATTTAAACTAAAGTTTGATCTCAGATACAACAACCTATAAAAAACAATAGTGATCAAAATTTATTCATGAATAACGCAATTAAGATGAAAAAAAATAATTTATTTAAAATCTTTTAATTCCTAAAACTTATAATTTAATTCATCTCCAAATAGACAATTTTTATTTGTTAAAGTCATCTTGTTCTTAAAAGAATAGTGGAGAAAACTATTTAATTAATAATAATACAAAATTCTATACTTTGATTAAATGGGTATACAAATAATATCATAAAAATTTAAATAAAAAATACAATTCATCCAAAAAGCTTCTTATTATAACTTGTCTATTAAGCATATAAGAAATTTCAACTAAATCTGTTTAAACATAATCTTTAGAAGAAAAGAAATAATGATCTAGAAAAAAAATGAATCAAAAGTAAAAGAATTAATAAATTTCATAAATTCAATATAACAATTTTATTGCTGAATATTGCAATTAATAACATATTTTAATAATAACAATAATATGATTTATATTATCAACCTGTTTTTAAAACTCCAGCCTCAATGAGTTTCTCAATCTTAGCTGCTAAAGAAGGATTCTATTTAATTGCCTTCAATCCATCTTAAGGATGATCTTTCATGTCATTTAAGAGATTAATAACCTAATTATTAAAAGAAATAAAATACCTCAGGCTCTCTAAGTATTTACTAAATTTCTGGATCCTACATAGCTCTCTTGGCTCTTTATTATTACTCCTCTTCTGAACCGCTTCCTTATAAAATTGAAAATCTGACTTTTTCAAGACCTTGTTACATTTCTACATTAGTAGGATCAAGTTCTAATCCCTTTTCATAAACAGTTTTGGCTTTATGGAATTCTTTCATTACAAAATGACAATTAGCTTTCTTAACATAGGCCTTCAAGTATTTTGGATCTAATTATAAACATTTTTCTAAATCAGAAACAGCGTTAGGAAATTCCATCAATTTCATGTATGCAGTAGCTCTATTACAATAATATTTTGGTTCTTTTGGATTTCTCTTAACAGCATCATTATAAAATTGAATTGCATCAGGGAATTTTCCTGCTTTAAAAGCTTCACCTCCTTTAGTATTAGCTTCTTCACCTAATTCAGGGTTCAAATAATTTTATGCTTCCAAATCTTTTTACAATTTTTATAATTTTTTCAACTCATCTTTAACAGATTAAACATGATCTTCAACTAATGACTTTTCATAAAGTTGAATAGCATCATCAATTTTATTCTAAAGTGAATAAATTTTGGCTTTTCTTGCCAATAATTTTGCTTTCTTCTAAAAACTGCTATGAACCTCTAAGATTTTAAGACCTTCATCTATAACTTCTAGTGCTTCATTATAAAGCTTCTATTCAATAAAGACAGCAGCTTTGTTATTATATAACAAGGCTTCATCTTTATTCAATTAAAGTGCAGCGTTATAATATTGTAGAGCTTTTTCAAAGTTTTTATTTTTATATTCATCATTACCCAAATTTTTTTATATTTCCCATTCTTCTAATTATGGTTAAGGTTTTGGAGGGGGTTAACTGTGTTGTTTTTATGAGGTTTATTCAAAATGAGGATGATGATGTTATTCTTGTTATGTTTGAGGATGTTCCTCTTCCATTTTTTATGATGGCTATTGTGGCTCATCTTTTTTTTCACCATCTGTTTTCTTAACTTTTCCAGCAAATTCGGAAAAAAATATTTATTAAGCTTCTGGGTTTTCTAATATTACTGATAAAGCAGCTTATATTCTTGGATCTGTCTACATAAATTAACTTGCCATTTACGGGTTAGAAATCATTAAGCCAATTAATTACATAAATGTTGGATCAGAAGCGAAAGCGGATGTTCTTGGATCTTTCTAGAGAATACCAAGAAGTTTTATAATATTTGGATTCTTTAATGCAGAAGCAAATGGATTGTTCTATGTACCTTATAGTTCTGTTTGGGCAGCTTTTAAGCCTTCTTAAAGTAAAGAATTGTTTGGATCTTTGGCTAAACCTTGTTTATAAACATCAACTGCTTTTTCGAATTCTCCAAGATAGTGAAGTGCTAAACCTTTTCTTTGGTAACCTAATTTAGATATTCAAATGTACCTTTTGCAAAATCGGGGTTCAAAGAAATGCATTTTTCAGCATCTGCTAATGCATCCTAATATTTAGAGAGTGAAGCATATGCTCCTGATCTATTACTGTAGAGGATGTGATCATTTGGATTCAATTAAATTGCTTATGAGTAAAACTTAGCAGCTTCTTCAAATTTGTTTTCTTTGAAAGCTTAATTACCAAGATCTTTAAATTATTATGCTGTGGACATTATTTTAATTATTGAAATAGATAAAGAAAAAGACAGAATTTCATCTCATTGTCAAATTCTAGATTATTCGATTTATTTTGTTTATTAATTTATAAAAAGTTGTAAAAAATAATTATAGAAAAAAACATTAATGAAATATTCATAAACACGTTTTCAATTAAATTTAATATGATAAAAGAGGTCGTAGTGCAATAATCACTTAGATTCACTTATTTCTTAATTGGAACAATAGCATTTTCATAAGGTATTATAATTATGGATTTCACAAGGGATAATGGGTTTATCTGATCTAGCAATTAGTTATATGCAAAAAGATGATTATAAATAAGATCCTGCATAAACTTAATTCTTTTCAACAATCATCAGTTTGCCATGGATTGTCAAGCCTTTTTGGGGTATAATGACTGACACAGTGCCTCTGTTTGGATATAGAAGAAAATCTTATTTAATATTTTTTGGGTTGTTAGGATTTATGTGTTGGAATTTGTTATCAGATTATGGAGTAGAAAATAGAGAAGTTGGATTAATTTTATTGACTGTGATTAATATATGTGTTGCATTTTGCAATGTAATAGGTGAAGCATTATTGGTTGAATTCTCAGGACATTCAGATGATGATACACATTAAAATGATAAAGCCAGTTAAAATGTGACATTTTTCTTTGGAATGAGATCAGCTGGAACACTGGTAACAGCTTATTCATCTGGCATGTTATTAGAATTATTTGACAAAAGATATATTTTTAAAATTACTTCAATTTTCCCTTTGACTTTAGCTTTTATAGCAGTATTTGTAAAAGAGAAGAAATATTCAAAAGATGAACCTGAAAAAGAAAAAATTAAAACAATCGAATCACTACAACTATTTACAAAATTTGTTTCTTAACCAGTCATATATAGGTAATTAAAATAAAAATAATTAGACCAATTTTATTAATTATGGTATTCATGTCATCTCCATCTATTTCTACAGCAATGTTCTATTTTTATACAAATGTTTTATAATTTGGTCCAGACTTTATTGGAGAATTAAGACTCTCCTATTCTATTTGTTCGATTTTAAGTGCTTACTTATTTAATCGATTTTTAAGACATGTCAAATTTACTAAAGTTTTTGGTTATAGCACTTTTGTATACTGTTTAGTTTCATGTTAAACAACTTTGCTCGTCACAAGAAAAAATGTTAAATTAGGAATTCCTGATCGAGTATTTTGTTTTGGAGATGGTGTTTTAAACTAAGTTATTGGAGAATTAAATACTATGCCAGTTTTAGTATTAGCTTGTAAAATGTGTCCTAAGAATATTGAAGGAACGATGTATGCTTTATTAATGTCAGCCATTAATTTTGGAGGAATGGTTTCTCAAGAATTAGGAGCATTACTGACTTATTATGCTGGTGTAACAGATGATAATTTTGATAACTTAGCAAAGTTGATAGTTATTTGCTCATTTTGCACAATGCTTCCACTACCATTTTTAGGAATTATTAATGAAGATCAAATGGCTAAAGCTAGAGAAAAGCATTTGTATGAATCTTTACCAAAATAAGAAGAAGAAATTAATGTTGAATAAGAGGTAGAAGAGATTACTGATACTAAAGGTCTAAACTAATAAAATGAGCAATTATTAATTTGATAATTCTATATAAAATCTTTATTATCATTCATAAATGATTTCATCAATAATATCTGATTTAGAGCGTACTTAATAATTTTATGGTTTAAAGTAGTATTAATTTATTTCTTTCCTTATTTATGAAAAGTTTTATGTGTTTGGCTCATCAATTGCGATTGATGTTTTCTTTTAAATTTTTGGTGCTTTAACCATTTTGTCAGTTTACAAATTAGCTAATCTCTGCAATTCTGCCAATGAATTAAAACTAAACTGTAAAGTTGGAGGTTCAAGAACATCAATTAATTTTTGATTCATTAATTTTTCAAAATCACTGTTTACATTATTGTTTAATTTAATAGATTCGTAAGCAAAATATAGTTTTTTTAGTTTCTTTTCAGTATTCAATTCATGGCGAGTTTCAAATAAATTTTTATTTTTAAAAGTTAATGTTAAATTTGCTTTCTCAAATTATCCAGTAGCGACTGTAAATGATTCGTTACCAGTAAACTTTGAAGATCCTACTATAGGTTTTGGCAAACAATTAAAGACTTTTAACTATTCTTTATTTAGAAGCAAATGTTTTAATTTCTCCATTTCTTGCAGCTTTTAAATGATAACCAATATATCCATATCTTTCTAAATCATACTTTTTGATTATTATAATATCTTTATGTTATGTTCACCTATATAACTAAATCTCCAACATGTCAAGTACTTAATTATTATTAAAATGCTATATTTCAACTTTTTATCACCCCTTAATAAAATATTAATAATCTATTGTAAATAGTTATTTTTGTAAAATTCTAAATTTGAAGGATTAATAAATTTAGTAGCATTTGATTATTTTAATAAGTCCATCTATTCTGTTTTTAGAGTTGCTTCATCAGTAAGTAATGCGTTTCTTTTAGTAACACTTTAATTTGTGATAAGGCATTCAGAACCAGCTGAAATCAATTATTAACTACCTGATGTTTTTGAAATTGCTTTTGTAAATCTTCCTAAAGTTAAAATTTTTATTGCTCCTATTTTAAATTTACTTGCAAGATCTTCTATCTGTTTTATATTATCTAGAATTTAAGTTACAAGGTTCTAAAATGAAAAAGTGAGTTCTCCCTTTTTTTATTCTGGAATATCGAATTGATATAAATCATTTGCCAACATTATTTATAAACCAGTTTTATTATATTTTGTAATAAAATAACCAAAAAGTAAAACTATAAATTTGGTTATTCCACCAACATATGATATTAATTCATCAAACTTATAATATTATTTTTTATAAATAGTTTCTGATTAAGCCAATCTAATAATAAATTGAGAAATGATATTATTAGATTAAATATTTGAAGTAATTTGGGAGAGTTTAGCATCTTAAATTTAAAATAACTCATCTTGTTCAATTTTATTTAATATCGAAATTGGAGAGTCTTCTATATTAACATTTAATTTTTCAAGATAAATATCAGTAGTAGTGGTTTTGGAAAAAGATGTTTCAACATAAAAATCAGTATAAATATATTTTTAAATACTCTCTTCTTAATTAAGATTTACCAAAGTATTGAGAATTAAGGTACTAATTTTTAGGATGCTATCTTGTAACCCAAAAGAAAGTGCTTCTTCACTATTAACACAATCTGGTTCATCGATGCATGACATCAACAAAATTTTACCAAATTAAAAAAGATTTGACTAATATGTGCCTTACTGTATAATTGAATAATTTTTGGGTAAACAAAAATATTTGCTTATTTACTCTTATATTAATTGCTATGAAATTTATATAAAATTTATACATTATAACTGTTAGTTTGATCTAAATGAGAGAAATGATCTATTGTACATTTCTCTAAAGGTTACAAAGATGTTCCATTTTTGATTTTTGTACCATCAGTATTAATTATTTAAGTTTATTGAGAATATAAGACTTTGAATATTGGCTTTTTGAATTACAATTATAGATCAACAGAAAATCCAAGCATAAAGTTATTTGAACTCAACTTTGCTATAGGGGGATCTAAATTGAGTAATTTTGAAGTTTAAATCTAATAATTTAATCAGAATAATAAATACTGCATAATTTTCTCTCTTATACAGTGAAATAGTTCCTCTTACAAAAACCATTAAGATAGCTATTGCAATAATAATTGTTATAATTCCACCCAAAAGAGATTTATATGATTCTTTATGATGTAAATTTAACTTAATTTACGCACCAAAATGATCACAATTTCTAATATATTTAAGAGTTTTTTTCATAATAGTCCTTATTAAAGAAATATAAATTTTTAATAATGGAAGACTAAAAGCAAATAATTCTTTAAAAACTTCAGAGCAACACAGCTAATATTAGAAATCTGAGTATTATTGCTCATGTAGATCACGGTATAATTTAGCATTTATCACCTAGGTAAAACAACATTAACAGATTAATTGATATCTGCAAATAATATTATTTCTAAAAGATTGGCAGGAAATTTGAGATATATGGATAGTAGAGAAGATGAATAACTTAGAGGTATAACAATGAAATCTAGTTCAATATCTATCATTTATGATAATCACTTGATCAATCTAATTGATAGCCCAGGCCATGTTGAATTTTCATCTGAAGTCCAGGCAGCATTGCGTTTGACTGATGGAGCTTTAGTATTAGTGGATGTTTTAGAAGGATTTAGTTCATAAACATTTAATGTTTTAAAATAAATGTTTGAAGAAGGAATCAAAGGAATTCTAGTTTTGAATAAAGTAGATAGATTGATATTGGAAAAATAGATGGATCCTGACTAAGCATTTATTCATATGTCTTAAATTGTAGAATAAGTTAATGCAGCCTTAAGTTCATTTTTAAATGAATAAATTCATCAGGTAGAAGAATAAACAGAGTTTTCTTTAGACGATGACACTATAAAAAATTTAGAATCAAATCTCTATTTTTGTCCTACTAAAAATAATGTTGTTTTCTGTAGTAGTATTGATGCTTGGGCTTTTACAATAGGAACTTTTTCTTCCATATTTGCAAAAAAACTTAAATGTAATTAAACTGCATTATAAAAATGTTTATGGGGAAATTATTATTTTAAGAATAAAAAAGTAACTTTAACTCCAAGCAAAGAAGGGTAATCAGTTTTATTTGTTGATTTCATCTTAAAAAATATCTGGAATATTTATAATAATAAAGATAATATTTAAAAAATTTAATCAATAGCTGCTTAATTGTAATTAAATGGATAAATTGGTAATTATAAATAATTAATGTCGAAATGGTTACCTTTTGATTAATGTTTATTTGATAGAATAATAAAGGAATTGCCAAATCCAATTGAAGCCTAAAGGGCTAGAAAGGATATAATTTGTAAAAGAATAAATAGGTAGATCACAAAGAATAATGATGCTAGATTTGATGAATTATATAAATCAATATAAAATTGTGATCCTAATGGGCCTTTAGTAGTTTTTGTAGCAAAGATGATAAGTGTACCCCCAGAGTGTATAGATGAAAAATAGCTTAACCCTAAACCATAAGGAATATTATCTTATGCATTTGCAAGAGTTTTTTCAGGAACTCTCCATTTAAATCAACCAGTTTTTGTAATTGGCCCAAAATCAAAAATTATAACTAATGAAAATTAAGTTGATTAAACAGATATGTTATAATTTGAAATAAAGAAAATTTATCTAATGATGGCTCAATATTTAGAGGCAATTAAAATGATGCCAGCTGGTAATTTAGTTGCTATTGGTGGACTAGATGATTTAATATTTAAAACATCTACAATATCATCTGTTCATTATTGTCCATCCTTTGCTCCAACTTTTGTTAAATTTAAATCCATTGTAAGAACAATGATAATGCCAACTTAAATGGAAGATCAACCAAAAGTTATCCAAGCAATAAAGAAATTATATAAATGTGATCCATCATTAGATGTGTAAGCTTTGGATTCTGGAGAACTAGTTTTAGGAACATGTGGAGAAGTTCATTTATAAAGATGTATAACTGACATTGAGAAATTATCAGAGTGCAAAGTTAGAATATCAGAACCAATAATACCTTTTAAAGAAACTATTATTTATAAAAATTTGTTTGAAGAAAGCAATGAAAAATTTCACAAAAAAAAAGCCAAAGTATTAGTGTAAGGAGAATAAAAATAAAAAAAATAATAACAATTTGAATAAAGAACAAAAGATGATGATGTGGATGTTGAAAAGAATAAATAATTTAAACAAAAGCTATAAGAAGGTGAAGAGACAGAAATTGTCAAAGACACTAATATTTTAGAATAAGAAGATATCAGATACAATTAATTATTAAAAGAAGAAATCAAATTTAAATATGACTAAAAATAACAAGTCAAAAAAATTGATCACAAGAACAAAGGAAAATAATCAACCAAGAACAATTTATTAGTTGAAGTCTAGAATAAAAGTAATCTTATTGAAGAATCTACAGCTAACCAAAAAATTACTGCGAAAGTGAGAGCTATTGGATTACCATTTGAATTAATAACTTGGATGGAAAATAATTAAAAATACATGAGAAAACTATTATATGAAAATAAAGGAGATCCTAAATTATTTCTAGAAGAATTTGATCTTATTCGCAAAACATTAAAAATAGAGAAAAAATTGAATGAACTTATAGAAAATCATTTGTAATGTTTTGGCCCAAAAAAATGTGGTCCTAATCTTTTAATTAACAAAATGATTAAGCCAGAAGATTCATTAGTTTAAAAATTAAGATAGCAAGTTTAAAATCTGCCTTAATAACCTTTAATATAAAACTAATAAATAATTCAAATAGACTTTTAATAGTAAGCTGAAGAATAATATTAAATTTAATAGCTTGAGGAAAAAATTGAATCAACAAAAGATAGCAAATCTTAATTAAGCGATACAACTGGGTCAATAGCAAAAGGTTTAGAAATGTATTTAAGTTAATAAGAATTATCTTAAGATGCTATGAATAATGCTCTTAATTTAGGATTCGATTTAGCTCTAAATGCTGGGCCTTTGTGTGCAGAACCTATTATTGGAGCATGCTTTATAATTGAATAAATAAAATTTTCTGAAGAGGAGTAATAATTATAATAGGATACATATGGACCAATTAGCGGCTAATTAATATCAATGATGAAGGATGCTTGTTTTAATTCATTTTTAGGAGCTCAACCTAGATTAGTAGAATCTGTTTATAAATGTACACTTTAGACAGATTTTACTAATTATGGTAAAAGTATTGATGTTTTAAATTAACGAAGAGGATATGTTTTAAACGAGATTCTAAATTCTTGCACTTCATTATTCACAGTTTAAGCTAGATTACCTTTAAGCAGCTCTTTCGATTTTTATTGTTAGATATAGTCTGCAACATCTGGACATGTTTCTGCTCAATTAGATTTTGATGGATGGTCTATTATTTAAGAAGATCCATTTTATTAACCATATACTGACGATGTAATAAATTCAAATATTTTTAGGATATCGAAGAAAATGGAATGCAAAAAGTCGAAAGAAATATTGCACGTGATTTGATCATGGCGACTAGAAAAAGGAAAGGCATGAATTTCGAAGAAAAAATAATTGTTGCTGCAGATAAATAAAGAAATTTATCGAAAAAAAAATGATATCATAATTAAAAACTTTCATTTTTATAATCAAAATAAATAACATTCAAATATGTTTATTGAAAATAATGTCTTTTTTCCCAAACATAACAATAGTAATCAGGTATTCTTATTCTTTATGGTTTGTAAATCAACATATTTCAAGTCTAAAAATTTTCATGATTCAGGTATNAAAGGAGATCCTAAATTATTTCTAGAAGAATTTGATCTTATTCGCAAAACATTAAAAATAGAGAAAAAATTGAATGAACTTATAGAAAATCATTTGTAATGTTTTGGCCCAAAAAAATGTGGTCCTAATCTTTTAATTAACAAAATGATTAAGCCAGAAGATTCATTAGTTTAAAAATTAAGATAGCAAGTTTAAAATCTGCCTTAATAACCTTTAATATAAAACTAATAAATAATTCAAATAGACTTTTAATAGTAAGCTGAAGAATAATATTAAATTTAATAGCTTGAGGAAAAAATTGAATCAACAAAAGATAGCAAATCTTAATTAAGCGATACAACTGGGTCAATAGCAAAAGGTTTAGAAATGTATTTAAGTTAATAAGAATTATCTTAAGATGCTATGAATAATGCTCTTAATTTAGGATTCGATTTAGCTCTAAATGCTGGGCCTTTGTGTGCAGAACCTATTATTGGAGCATGCTTTATAATTGAATAAATAAAATTTTCTGAAGAGGAGTAATAATTATAATAGGATACATATGGACCAATTAGCGGCTAATTAATATCAATGATGAAGGATGCTTGTTTTAATTCATTTTTAGGAGCTCAACCTAGATTAGTAGAATCTGTTTATAAATGTACACTTTAGACAGATTTTACTAATTATGGTAAAAGTATTGATGTTTTAAATTAACGAAGAGGATATGTTTTAAACGAGATTCTAAATTCTTGCACTTCATTATTCACAGTTTAAGCTAGATTACCTTTAAGCAGCTCTTTCGATTTTTATTGTTAGATATAGTCTGCAACATCTGGACATGTTTCTGCTCAATTAGATTTTGATGGATGGTCTATTATTTAAGAAGATCCATTTTATTAACCATATACTGACGATGTAATAAATTCAAATATTTTTAGGATATCGAAGAAAATGGAATGCAAAAAGTCGAAAGAAATATTGCACGTGATTTGATCATGGCGACTAGAAAAAGGAAAGGCATGAATTTCGAAGAAAAAATAATTGTTGCTGCAGATAAATAAAGAAATTTATCGAAAAAAAAATGATATCATAATTAAAAACTTTCATTTTTATAATCAAAATAAATAACATTCAAATATGTTTATTGAAAATAATGTCTTTTTTCCCAAACATAACAATAGTAATCAGGTATTCTTATTCTTTATGGTTTGTAAATCAACATATTTCAAGTCTAAAAATTTTCATGATTCAGGTATCAAGGCAGATGTAAGTGATCTAGCAATAATTCAATCTTTTCTAGATTTTGAAGAAATCTGCTATAATCCATTTGATAAATATTGGAAAATTAAAATAATTTGAAAATTAATTATATTTATAAAAAGTTTGGATGAGTGACGATGAAGAAAAAGAATTTAAGCATAAATAAAGATAGACTAAGCAACAATTATATTAGTTCATTTAAAGAGATGAGTTTAATCTGATCATCGATTGTACTAATATGTCACTTAGTTTCATTCTAATATTTGCTTATATTTATTCAACTTATGATCCTTATCCATTTCAAAATGCAACATGGGCAGTCTTTAACACGATATTTCATTTAATACTTTTAAGCGAATGGATTTTTAAATTATATGCTACTAAACATTTCTAATCATTCATTATCTCTTCGGAATCAATTATTGCCACCTTATCATTGTTTCCTTATTTTATCATTAAACTTTCCACTCTCAAATTATTTATTGAGGATGATGACAAAGTCAATATGTTTGCTAATTTAGTTTGTTTATTCAGAGGACTAGAATTTGACAGAATGAAAAAATATTTAGATTCAGAGGTCAATAAATAATTAACATCAATCATGATTACAACTGCTACTTTGGTTCTCTGTGCAGCAGGTGCTTTGCATTTTAATTCACTTTTTTTAGAGTCAGAATTGCATTTTAAATTTCATTACTTTATCTATTTTGTCATGACCACAATTTCAACAATGGGTTATGAAAATAAATTTTCTAGTGCAATTTCAAGAGTCTTAATAATTATTCTAGTCTTATTAGCATTAACTTTTGTACCTTATCAAACTGGATAACTAATTCGTCATCTTAGCTCTAAATCATATTATGCTAGACTAAATTATAAGTCAAGCCAAGCAGTTCCTCATATTGTAATTCTAGGAACCATCTCACTTAATGCAGCAGAAAATTTTTTTAAAGAATTATTTCATGAGGATCATGGATTAGCATAAAAACATGCAATAATTTTATCACCATAAAGACCAGATGTAAATCTAGAATCACTTATACAGCAACCAGAATATTCGAATGTTATTTATATTTAAGGTGATCCTCATTTAGATAAGGACTTAAAAAGGTGTCAAATAGAAAAAGCAAAAGCTATCATTATAATGTGCAATAAATAAAGCTCAGATCCAACAGCAGAAGATAGTAAGACTATTCTTTTAGCTATTGTGATTAAAAGCTATTTAAAATAACACAATACCACAGGTATAAAAATTAGATTTTGTATGTAGATATTGAGACAAGAAGGTAAAACACATTATTTTTTATCTTTAAATAAATAAACCAAATTTGATTAAGTAATATGCATAGAAGAATTAAAGATGTCTCTTCTTGCAAAATCATGTTTGTGTCCAGGATTAATAGCATTTATCTCTAATTTAATTGCATCTTCTGGAAATCCTCCAAATCTTCCTCAAAAATGGTTAAACGAATATTGGATTGGATAAGGATTCGAAATATATAAAACATTGTTACCAAATTTTTTTAGGGGAAAATCATTCACTCAAACTGTTTTAATTTTGTACAAATAATTTTAAGTTATACTCTTCGGAATTGAAATCTCTTCTCCTAATGATTATGAAAAAAATTTATTAAATCCAGGAGATATAATTTTACCTTCAAATCCTAATTATAGAGTGATGGGATATATCATTTGTAAAGATAAAGAAACTGCAGATGAAATTTCCATATATAAATAAAGTAACCAAGATAAAATTAATTAAATAAAATCAGATGGAACAACCAGGAGATTATTAGAATCTGAAGAGACAGTTAATATTCGACCAAGAAGACCAACTATATTTCAAAATGTGAAAACTCTGTTTGGTTTTTCTTAAGCCGAATCTGATTAAAAAAAAGCAACTGCTGCTAATAATCAATCTAAAAATGTAATATTACATTTAAAAAATCAAAGAGGTTGGGTTAGGACTGATATGTTTGACCCAAGTTAAGATACTTTAATTCATCCAAAAGAAAATTAAAAGTTCGATTAATTATAAGAAATTGAAGAAAATAGTGATGATTAGTAAAAAGATATTGCAGAAATGTAGATTAAGGAGAAATTTTAAAAAGAAACTGCAAGAAATTGGCTTTAACTTGATTTTAATAACAATAAAATTGAAAAGACTAGCCATTTGACAAATGAAAAGGTTGGACTCAAAGATGTAACCTTTAAGACATTATAAGATTCAATTTTAGCTTAAAATCATGTTATTCTTTGTGGTCTTGTAGCTAATTTAATCAATTTTATCTTACCATTAAGATCTAAATATTTAATTACTTATCCTCCAATTGTAATTTTAAATGATTAGGAGCCCACTGAAAAATAATGGGCTTAAATTTGTTATTTTCCAGAAATATATTTTGTTAAAGGAACAGCAATGAGTTAGAGAGATTTAATAAGAGCTAATATAGAGTAAGCTGTAAGAGTTGTAATTCTTTCACCTAAAGAAATATCAACTGCAAAATTTGAAGATGATTCTTAAGAAAATGATTAAATATTTCAATAGCAATAATTGACTAAAGATTAGGAGGATTTATTGGACGCAAAAACCATATTTAAATATCGAAATGTCATCAGATTAAAACCTCACATTTAAATTGTTACAGAGTTTGTTTCTCCTTCAAATATTTAATTTTTATTATTTGATAAAGATTATGATTTAATGAAATAGTACGGATATAATCATACACCATTATTTGCATCTGGATAGATCTATTTTTCTTCGGTTATGGACGGCCTTTTATGCCAATCTTTTTATAATCCAGCTTTAGTTTAAGTTTTATATCAATTGCTAGTTGGTAATATTAAAGAAAACGAGAAAACAGGCGCTTCTTTAGAGTACCAATAGGGTACAGGACAAAAGTAAACAAAAGATTATTGTTTTGAGGATAAAGATATATCCAGTAATTTATTTCAAATTCCAGTTCCAAAAGCGTTTTAAAAGAAACCATTCTAAAAATTGTTTTATCATTTAGTGAAAATGAAGCAAATTGTTCCATTAGGATTATATAGATTAGGAGGAGCAACGGATAATAAAGTTCCTTATATCTGTACTAATCCTGAACCAAATACAATCTTGACTAACAAAGACATAGTTTTAGTTTTGGCTAAAGAAATGCCTTAATCAGACTGTAATAAGTTTAGTTATTCTAGCAATTAATTGGGGAGGACCTTTAGAGGAAATGATCTAGAAATAAAGGCAAGCCCACAATATTTATAAAAAAAAAGAATCTACTTCATCAAGTGAGGATAATGATTTAATATAAATAAATGATAATAATGATAAAGAAGTTTAGAGAGAAAAGTAATATAAAAATGAAACAGAGCAAGTTATAAAAAAGATATAAAATGTAATTGAAGATGTATCAAAATTAGAGTAAGATTCTGAAGAACTAAAATCTTAAATGAGATTAAGACAAGACAGAATTTTAAAAAGGTTAAAAGATGTCTTCAATGAAGAATTGATATAAGTCCAATAAAAAAGAGCTGAAGTTTCGTAAAATTTTACCTACAAAAGCTCAGATGATTGACACTTATATAATTTATAAAAATTTTATATTATAAAATGTTAAGAACAAAGGAACAACTTTTTAAATTTGAATATAAAGTGATTGTAAAAATTAGATTTATTTCTGCGAAAAGCTTCTACTTGATTGGATAAAATTTTTATGAAAAAAATGATTTTTTCGAAACTAAAATTAAAAAAAATAGTTTTAAATGGGTTAGATTTGAATTATTAAAAAAAAGAATTGAATTAGTGTCATGAAATTATTAAAAGATTTGAAAAATGATATTAAAATTTTAGGAGAGAATTTTTTTACTTATTAATTAATCAAAGAAATGGTATAGAAATTTTGAACTATCAAATTTTACAAACACCTGAGTAGATGATTTTATTTTCTTTGGCTCGAACAAACTACTTTTTGTAATAGTTATCCTTTCTTGAATTCATTTATACTTAAAATTTATTTTAATTATATTTATGAAAGATAATAGAAGAAAAAAATATTTAGGATTTTATTAGTTTATTCAATTTTTCTAGCATTATTTGCAAAGATATTCTCCTTTTGCATAATCTTTCAAAGAGGGCCATTTTAGATATGAAAAGGTTTACAAGCATTTGGAACAATAGAGGTTTTCAAAAAAGTTGCAAGCCTCTTCACAAAGGTATTTTGATTCCCCATCTGCAGCATAAACTTTTTGTTTTATGTTTCGTTTTGTACATTTTGATTAGCAGTAGTAACATTGCTCCTTTTTTTCACATTAATTACAAAAAGTAATTTACTTTTGTAAAAGCTAAGCACAATCACAACATTATATATGTGAACATTTTTTTTAACAGTCTCCGCATACTTTCAGATCTAAAGCCTATTTTAGCACTCTATTCAAATCAAACTTAAAATCATTTCCGCAACATTCACAAATTTCAGTAAATTCATTTACTTACATGCAATTCAGGCAAGTATCTGAGTTATCAGAATTTTTTTGATAATCTTCATAAGTGGTTTTGAAGATGTCTCCACAAATTACGCAAACTGCAAACACACTTTAAAATTCAGGTTTATTAATTTATAGAAAGGTTCTATCCATTGGAACACATTACAAATCGGAATTTCTAAATAAATACAATTTTTCACAAATTTCATTGCACTAACTGTGTTAATTTTTAAAAAACGTTAATATTCCTTCTTCCCCTAAATTTAAATCATCTTATAAATATTCAATATTCATTTTGGTATGGATACATGGATCTGAGAGTACTCCTTATTTTCCTTACAAATCAGTAATCACTAAACTTTTATTTGTGTAATGATAAGTAAAATGACTAAAAGCAGAGTAGCTTTGCTTTTCTTTATCAATATAATCTGTATTATTGGTAATCTTCTCCCAAGGGCCTTCAATATCTATATAAGTCTCAGCATACAACTCCATTAATCCAAAGAAATCATTGCAAAGAGTGTATTTAATAGGTGTCACATAGTATATAGGAGGAGCTTTATTGTTTTGCTTAGTGGAATTTCGATATGCTGCACTTAATTGCTTAGCTACCAAAGTTTAATTGTATCTGATGAAGGAGGATCTTTAAGCATTTTTTAATATATTTTCGTCAAGTTATCCCTTTTTAGAAAGTTCAACAATTTCTTTTGGTACTTTAATTATTATTTTTAAATTATTTCTAATATCAAATGCTTCGAAAACAAATGAAACCTTTCCTTACTCATTAAAGTTCAATTATTTTTAATTCAAATCTATTTCTAAAATAGTATCCCCTCCAACTTAATTTTTCCCCATTTAAGTTAAAAAATTGGTAAAATAATTTATATCATTTTTACTATTGCATTCCACAGGTTCAAGAGCTTTATGCTAGACAAAGCTTGCTTGGAATCTTTTTGTTTTAGATTAAATTTGTTTATGTAACTAAATGGTTGATTTAGTGTAGGACAATTTCATTGAAAAAGAGACATATTAAGCAAAATCTTTTGAGTTTAATTCACTAATCTCAAGATTTTTGAAATTTTGTTTCATAATTTTATACATCTTATCTGTTGTATCATTCAGCTTACAGCAAAAGAAGTAATTGTTTGGGCTTTTTTTGTCATCTAAATCTCTCATAAGTTTTTCTAGTGATTCACTTTAAATTTTATCTTTATAATCATCTCCTTGAATATCATGGTATTATTTGCCATGAGTAGGAGCATCACTTATCAAAAATGTACAAAGTATGCTTAAATGGTGTTTTGAAAAATTCAACTTTAGGGCTTATTCAATTCCACCTGCTACATCTTCAGCTTCATCTCCTCCTCCTGTGGCTTTGAGAGTGCTAATAAACTATGTAATTAATTCAATATCTGTAGTAAAATCATGGTATTCTATAGGTTTTGAATCACTAAAATCTCTATATCCAACGAAAGCTATTCTAATTTGAGTTGATTAAACAGCTTAGTTAAAATTATCAATTATTGAAGATATACTTTCTTTTGCCTAATCAATCCATTTTTACATGCTGCCAGTACAATCCATGATAAATAAAACATCTAACATGTTTCTTTCTTTTATATTTAAATGTAATTTTTCAATTTTGGATTTTTCAAACAATATTTCAAGCTTTTTAAATGATTTGGAATCCATTCTTTAAATTTGTGGCTTTGAACTGCGAGTGCATGGAGCCAATTTCTTTTTTTCAAATTAATCAGCAGAGACGTGGCTAACCTACTCCCAGTCTATGTGAAATTTTGGGCATTTTCCTTTAGAATCACAGGTTCCTTTGAAATTTTTCAGGCAAAATTATTCAAAACCAATATATTTTTTCTCAATATCTGTTATTGATTCAGGGTTTAAATTTTTAAATTCATATTCTTTTTAAACTTTACTTTGCAAATCCTCCCAATTAATGTGTTTTTATTTTTATGTACATTAATCTTCACATTAGTCGTTAAAATATTTTAAACAAATGTTTTACTTAATTATCCAATCCTTGTGAAGATAGTAACATTTTTGGTTTTTATTTTAGCAATCAATTTTAGGGCATATATTTATCATAAAAACTCCGTTAATTGTGCTTTATCCTAGCTCTTTCTTTAAATCTGTTTTATTCATATGAAGCAAATTTTAAGGACAACTATCATTTTTACATTTTCCATTTAAGAAGTTAATACAAACTCCAGCAAAGCATCTTGGATGTATTAGAGAACATTCGTTATTAGTACAAAGAATGTTTTCTGGGCAAATATTAATAGATTCTTTTAATAATTTTTAAGCCATATTAATTAATAAATATCTTGAAAAATAGCTTAAAATTTGTTGTGAATTCTATTAAAATTATTTAAATAGAAATAAAATTGCTAAACTTTAACAATTTCATCATTTTGGAATAATCTTAGGTATTCAAAAATAAGATTTATAATTATAAAGATGTGAAGAAAAAAATTAATATCATTAATTAAATGTAATTAATTACCTAACTTTTATTGATTTTTATAGTAATATGAATTTTATAATATTCGTATAATATTTTTAATAATTTTGTATATTTTGTATAATATTT